CACAAACATGTAAAAATAGAATGGCACCCGCATCAAGTGAGGGAGTCCAACTGTTGCTCAACCGTCACTAGCTGCAAGGAGACAGAGAATGATTGTTTGACAATTAGGAGAAAGGCAACATGTCTGAGGGTGTTAGGCAGTCAGTCATGTGGAACGTGCAGCACTGACCTTCTTGTAGAACTCAAGCAGCTCCTGGTGGCTGAATTCCAAAAACACGTTCTCCACACTCTGGAAGACAAGAGGAGAAAGGCTCACCATGAGTCAAGGGACGTCACGGCCGACAACACTCCCTCAGCTTTCTATAAAAAACATCACTCCCATCAATTATTTGTGCACTTCTGTCCAGTTAAAGTAAGTACACGTCATAGAGATGGTACATGTACTGTCTACTATTCTCTCTGAAATGATTTTCACCCAAAACCGAATAAGAATGTCCCAACTATCATGATTCACAAAAACGTAAACCACAATTTAAATATCAGAGGGTTGGTTGGTATTCACATTTTCAACGATATGAAGACACTTCTTTAACTCAGAAAAGGGCACTTACAGTATAAGACAAGACATATCTTGTGATGGGAAAATAACATACATTAGGATGAATACTAAGATACCATTAAGGATTAAGAGGGAGGTCGTCAAAGCAAGACATTGCTGTGAGAGTTATCCCAGTGTTGGGCTGTGCACCAACCAACACAACTAGCCGGTGCTGTGGGTCTGAAGGCACAATGGGGGAGGGAATGTGTCAGAGCACATTAATGACAGGGATATTAATTAGAGCCAACATTATCATCCATAATTAAGAGGAAAAGGGGAAATGTTATCTCTTGCCAAAGCCCACTTGGCATGTGCTAACATGAAATGTAGGGCACACACCCATCCACCCACATTTGAATTGAGATTTGACAAGGTAACAGCTTTTGCGCAACCATATTTGCACATTACAAATATAATAAAACACAGATCAAATATGATATTGTGGCAAATTAATCATTGGAATGAATCAGAAAGATGAACATCCACATAAATCGGAAAAGATTACAAAATGCCAGAGCAATTGGCTTTATAATCGTCCATTCAATCTTAATTTCTTAAAGGGATAGTTTGCGATTTTGGCAATGAAGCCCTTTATCTACGCTGAACAAAAATATAAACGCAACATGTAAAGTGTTGGTCCCATGTTTCATGAGCTGAAATAAAAGATCCCAGAAATGTTCCATATGCACAAAAAGCTAATTTCTCTCAAATGTTGTGCACAAAGTTGTTTACATCCCTGTTAGTGAGCATTTCTCCTTTGCCAAGATAATCCAGCCACCTGACAGGTGGGGCATATCAAGAAGCTGATTAAACTGCATGATCATTACACAGGTGCACCTTGTGCTGGGGACAATAAAAGGCCACTCTAAAATGTGCAGTTTTGTCACACAACACAATGCCACAGATGTCTCAAGTTTTAAGTGAGAGTGCAACTGGCATGCTGACTGCAGGAATGTCCACCAGAGCTGTTGCCAGAGAATTTGATGTTAGTTGCTCTACCATAAGCCACCTCTAACATAATTTTAGAGAATTTGGCAGTACGTCCAACCGGCCTCACAACCGCAGACACATGCATGGCATCGTGTGCTGTTTGCTGATGTCAACGTTGTGAACAGAGTGCCCGATGGTGGCGGTGAGGTTATGGTATGGGCAGGGCAGGCATAAGCTACGGACAACAAACACAATTGCATTTTATCGATGGCAATTTGAATGCACAGAGATACCGTAACGAGATCCTGAGGCCCATTGTCATGGCATTCATCTGCCGCCATCACCTCATGTTTCAGCATGATTGTCACGCCCTGACATAGAGATCTCTAGTTGGTTTGGTCAGGGAGCCTGCCCATGCCTGCTCCTCGCACCAGACCAGTGGTGCGTGTTCCCAGCCCGGTGCGGCCCGTGCCTGCTCCTCGCACCAGACCAGTGGTGCGTGTCTCCAGCCCGGTGCGCCCCGTACCTGCTCTTCGCACCAGACCTGTGGTGCGTGTCTCCAGCCCGGTATGGCCCATGCCTGCTCCTCGCACCAGACTAGTGGTGCGTGTCCCCAGCCCGGTATGGTCCAGTCCAGGGTCAGAGCAGTCTGCTCCACCGGTGCCTAGTGCAGCTCCGGTCAGCTGCTCCACTCCAGTGCCAGAGCAATCCGCTCCACCGGTGCCCAGTCCAGCTCCGGTCAACTGCTCCACTCCAGTGCCAGAGCAGTCCGCTCCACCGGTGCCTAGTCTAGCTCCGGTCAGCTGCTCCACTACAGTGCCAGAGCAGTCCGCCCCACCGGTGCCCAGTCCAACTCTGGTTAGCTGCTCCAGTCCCATGCCAGAGCAGTCCACTCCAACGGTGCCTAGTCCAGCCACAGTCAGCTGCTCCACTTCAGTGCCAGAGCAGTCCACTCCACCAGTGCCAAGTCCAACTCCGGTTAGCTGCTCCAGTCCCATGCCAGAGCAGTCCACTCCACCGGTGCCTAGTCCCGGTCAGCTGCTCTAGTCCAGAGCCAGAGCAGTCCGCTCCACCGGGGTCCAGTTCAGCTCCGGTCAGTGGCTCCACTCCAGTGCCAGAGCAGTCCGCTCCACCGGTGCCCAGTCCGGGTCCGGTCGTCTACTCTCCCACACCAGGGTCCAGACAGGACTTGGTGCATCGCGGGAGGACTGCAGAGCCGGAACCAGACGTCGGCCCCTCTCCAGGGTCGAGGGCTCCCACACCAGGGTCCAGACAGGGCTTGGTGCATCGTGGGAGGACGGAGAGGGGAAGCATCGCGCCGAGGTCCAGACCGGACCAGGTGTGCAATGGGGAGCCAGAAAAGGAGAGGACAGTAAGGTGGACGTCGCGCCCGGGGCCGGAGCCGCCACCGAGGCTAAATGCCCACCTGGACCCTCCCCTATTGAGTCAGTTTTGCGGCCGGAGATCGCACCTTTGGGGGGGGTACTGTCACGCCCTGACATAGAGATCTCTAGTTGGTTTGGTCAGGGTGTGAAATTCTAGGTGTAGATCTATGTTATCTATGTCTATGTTGGCCGGGTGTGGTTCCCAATCAGAGGCAGCTGTCGATCGTTGTCTCTGATTGGGGATCATACTTAGGTAGCCATTTTGCCTACCTTTAGTTGTGGGATCTTGTTTCTGTTTGTTTGGCTTGTTTGATGTATAGCCTTTAGAACTTCACGTTCAGTTGCTTTGTTATTTTGCACCTTGGTCCAATCCTTTACACGACGAACGTGACAATGATAATGCACGGCCCCATGTCGCAAGGATCTGTACACAATTCCTGGAAGCTGAAAATGTCCCAGTTCTTCCATGGCCTGCATACTCACCAGACATGTGACCCATTGACGTGTACGACAGCACGTTCCAGTTCCCGCCAATATCCAACAACTTCGCACAGCCATTGAAGAGGAGTGGGACAACATTCCACAGGCCACAATCAACAGTCTGACCAACTCTATGGTAAGGAGATGTGTTGCGCGGCATGAGGCAAATGGTGGTTACGCCAGATACTGACTGGTTTTCGGATCCACGCCCAAACCATTTATATTTTAAGGTATCTGTGACCAACAATTTAATTCAATTTACTGATGTCCTTATATGAACTGTAACTCAGTAAAATCTTTGATCATGCTGCATTTATATTTTTGTTCAGTATACTTCCCCAGAGTCAGATGAACTCATGGATACCATTTTTTTCTGATTATCCCATGTTTAATACCAAGTTCACTGTCAAAGTGCCTATCCAAGATCGCCCCCATGTCACCTGACAGCTCAACTCACAGGTAAGGTGATCATAATAATAATAATAATAATATGCCATTTAGCAGACGCTTTTATCCAAAGCGACTTACAGTCATGCGTGCATACATTTTTTTTGTGTATGGGTGGTCCCGGGGATCGAACCCACTACCTTGGCGTTACAAGCGCCGTGCTCTACCAGCTGAGCTACAGAGGACCACCATCAAATGAACATATTAAAATGACCGACACACACTCACCACACCAAACAATTCATTGTCAGGCAGTCATCATCAAAGGATACTCCAGTATGCGTCATTGATTGAAGTGAGTTCTCTACCTGAATATCTGATGTATTTTGTTACTATGTACTGTGGTGGAAATTCAACACCAGGGACACCTGAAGTCAATATTAAATGAATCACTCTTTATTATCAGTTAACTGGAGAGGTTACAACAAACACACATGCAAAGTACAAGTCTGCCACAAGCTCTGCCAGGGCGGTCCCTTCAGTCCTCTTATATACACAAAAAAGCTACATAGGCAAGGTTCATAGGGTTGGTTCCTGCAGGTGATTGGCTGTTATCGCGTTTCCCAAGAAACTGAGCAATGTCTCCTATATTAAGTTCCAGAACATATTCTGGGCGTTCTGCCAATTGGTCTGAGGAGGAGGTCACAGTCACCTGCACGAACCAAGATAGAGTGAGAGAAGATGCATACTTAAGGCTATCTCTTCAGACTATAACATTTTCCCTTACACTCCCTCCTTTGATCACTTCTGTGATGACGATTGTCAAAGCAAAAAACACACGCTGCAGCCCATTGGTCAATTTGGGATCCCCAACATCCAAACAGGAATTTCAACCAAGTTGCAATCGTCCACTCTGGCTGTGGGGAATTGTTCTTAGCCACCGTGGCAATGTATTCGGCAAGATCAGTAATATTAGAGTACCAATCTGGGACAAAAGTGCAACACTCATCTCCAATTATTGCATAAGTGCCCCTTGACCTGCCAAAAGATAGTCAAGAGCCTCTCTGTTTTGCAGAGCCAACTTACGCAATTATTTTAGTTCCCCATTCAATTGTTCCAGGGCATTTAGAGTAGCATTGGTAATTTTCTCTACGTGTTTACTGATATCACGAATTTGGTCTAGGGCACATGCAACTCCATACTCAGGGAAAAACACACCAAAGGACCTGGAGGCAGGTGCCTGAGTGTGAGTGATGTCAGCCAGAGAACTCTTATCTCTCCTCATTCCAACAGAGCCTTCAGATTCTTGTCATTGTTTGGAACGGTTCTCATAGCAGTCACCACAAACCCAACAGTACAACTACCTCCCCAGTTCAGGGGAAGGCTATAGTAAGCCATCTTACCCCACAACCAATAGGTGCCATTTGGGGCTCCTCAAAGGGATAATAACATTATAGACTGAAATACCATAAGTAACATTACCAGGTTCCCCAGTGTCGGCATTGTTAACGGTTAACTTACAGGTATTGGAACCATTGTAATACATTATACAATTACATTCTAGGCTGTCATCACTCTCCTGCTACTGAAATGGGTGGTAGTAAAGTATTATCTGGCCTAGCAAAAGACGGTGGGCCTGTATGGGGTCAGGGTTACGCGGTATCTCTACTACGAATGGTACGTGCATTTGCATAGTCAGATTTACCCTTATGGGAACTCCCACAAGTGGTAAACCTGCTCCTACCTTAACTGGCCCCAACCCACACACCCAACACTCTTTTTGCCCGGATGTAAGGTTAGCAACCATTTCTGCTCTAGAGAGGAACGGATTGTCCTCATGGTTATGTGGGCCCAGCAGGGCTCTCCATCTCCGATTACCATCTACTCCTGGGCCACTACTCCGGGCCTGCATTGGTCCCTTTGGCTCAGGACTAATCTCACCCTCTGTCAGGTTTCCTACAAGAGGACAACCTACTACTCTTATTAACACTCCTGTGGTAATGCAGAGGAGGGCCACACTGCACCACCGTAACTGGCAAGGCCTCATCTTCTCCTGGATCAGGAACGCGTCTGCAATGCGACACGTGGATCCAGGTTTCTCTCTCAGCAACCTTCACCACAGTGGGGTTGGTCAGAAGAACTTGGTACGGCCCTCTCCAACGGGGGTCCTTCCAACTCTTTCTCCTGAAGTCTTTGACCACCACAAAATCACCTGGGTTCAAACAGTGCTCAGCTCCACTTTCCAGGTTTGGCAAAGATGCCTTCACCCAGGAGAAGAGAGTCTTAAGAACACTGTTAAGGGTGACACAATACTCAACCATATCTTTGTCACGACTTCCTCTGAAGCTGCCTCCTCTCCTTGTTCGGGCAGGCTTCGGCGTTCGTCCTCACCGGCCTTCTAGCCACTGCCGCTCCTCATGTCATCATTCCATTTGTTTTGTCTTGTTTATTACACACACCTGGTTCATATCCCCTCATCAGTACCTGTATAAGTGTTCCCTCTGCCCCCTTGTCTTTGTGTGTGATTGTTTATTGTAGAGGAGATTGGGTTGTTCAACCATGTGCCTTATTTTCCCCAGTGCGCCGTTTGTCCACACTGGTGTGTATTACGCATTTCTGCGTACCTCTGTTTATTGATTCCATGGTTTACTCTCCTGCGTCTGACTCCGTCCAACATCACCCGCTACAGTCTTCCTCCATTCCTTGCAGGGACAACCTGTTCTGGAGAAAATGTGTATTAGTAATCCTCATGGGACAGCCAGTCAGCACCTCATGTGGAGAGAGACCAGTTATTGTGTGGGATCTGCCTCTCATACTCATCAGTGCCAATGGAAGCACCTTTACCCATGTCAGGCTTGTTTCACCAATTAGTTTTTATCAATTTTGTTTTCAGAGTTTGGTTTGCCCGTTCTACCGCATCCCCAGATTGAGGACGATAGGCACAATGTGTTCTCAAATCAATCTGTAAAGCCTCTGACAGGGATTGAACAATCTCATTCACAAAATGTCAACCATTGTCGGAAGAGATCTTTGATGGCAGACCCGACCTGAGTATGATCTCTCTCACGAGTGCTTTCGCCATAGCAGTTGCTGTGGCTCTCCTGCAAGGGAAAGCTTCAATCCATTTAGAAAACATGTCAATGATCATGAAACAATACTTGTTCCCCTCACAAGGGATCAACTCAATGGAGTCCATCATTAAGTGCTCAAAATGTCCTTCATTGTTAGTCATGCAAATGAAACATTTCTTCCAGAAAGTTTCTGCAAACACAATAAAACCTACTATACACCAATATTTATTTACAACATCTACCATCCCTCCTTTTGACACATGGTCTTGACCATGTGACAATTTGGCAAGGAATTGGAAAGTACAACGGGCATGGCTGGTCTGCTCCACTCATCCAGCCATACACCTGAGGCGTCCTCATGACAGCACCCATCTCACTTGCGTTTCTCTGATGCATCAGCCGTTGCCTGCAGAGCAACGGTGTCATTAACAGAGAAAGGGTTAGTGGAAGCAGGAACTGCTGCCATCTGTTGGAGGGGGGAAACAGAAGATGAAGCAGCCAATTTAGCTGCACAGTCAGCCTTAGCGTTCCCCCAGAGAAATGTTATCTTCAGAGGAAGTATGTGCCTGACACTTGATTACAGAAATAGAGGAGGGCAGTTGGACAGCCTGTAACAGAGACAAATCAAGATGTGTGCAATTTGTTTTCCAGACGAGGTCAAAAACCCTCTATTCTTCTACAATGTTCCAAAATCATGCACTACACCAAACGCATATATACTATCAGTGTAAATATTAACAGAGGTTTCCTTTGCCAAAGTACAAGCTCTAGTCAAGCCAAATAGTTCTGCAGCCTGGGCAGATACATGTGAGGGGAGTCTAGCACTCTCCACAGTTACCAAAACAGTCACAACATCATAACCAACAAATGGTTCCTCTTTTTCATTTCTCTGAGCAGACCCATCCACAAAAAACTCAAAGTCTGGATTGTCTAACGGGGTGTCTCTCACGTCCAACCTAGGGCTACAGCCAACTTCAATAGCTAAATCACAGTCATGGTCTTCACCGGCATCTGCTGTAGGGAGAAGAGTTGAAGGGTTAAGAATTGTACATCGTTTCAGAGTAACATGGGACTGTCACACCCTGGCTCTGGGGACTCTTTATGTTGAGCCAGGGTGTGTAGATTCTATGTGTTTGTGTTCTGTGTTGTAGATTCTAGTTGTTTAATTTCTATGTTGGCCAGAGTGGTTCTCAATCAGAGGCAACGAGTGTCAGCTGTTGCTGGTTGTCTCTGATTGGGAACCACATTTAGACAGGCTGTTTTCCCACAGTAGTTGTGGGATCTTGTTCCGTGTTGGTTGTGTTAGACCTAGGACGTCACGTTATTGTTTGTTGTTTTGTTCGTGTTATTCAGTTATTTAATAAAGTAAAATATGTTTGCATTTCACGCTGCGCCTTGGTCCTCCTCCTTCGACGATCGTGACAGAAGATCCCACCAAACCAGGAGCAAGCAGCGTGTCCAGGAGCAAGCGCCGGGTAAGAAGCTGGAGAGGTTGGCGATGGCCCAGGTGGGCCAATGGTGGTCCTGGGAGGACATGCTCGCGGGAGAAGGGCCATGGGCTAAAGTTAAGGCCCTGGCGAGAGAGGAGCAACGGCGTCAACAGTGTCGTCGGCGGACGGACGAGAGGCAACCCCAAAACATTTTTAGGGGGGGGGGGGGCACACGGCATGGGCAACGGGGCAGCAGGAGGCTGCCACAGGGCGAATTGGGAGATTAGGAGAGGAGGCCACCAGGTTTGGGGGGCCGGATGGGAGGTTGGCGGAGCCTAGAGGTAGAGCAGAGCCAACTCCCCGTACTCAGGCATGGCAGCGTGAGACTGGGCAGTTTCCGAGGTATGCGGAGCTGCGTACTGTGCCGCGAGTGGTCCGGCACAGTCCGGTACGTCCTGTGCGAGCACCCCGCACGTGTCGTGCGAAGGTGGGCAGGCAGCCAGGACGGAGTGTGCCGGCTCAGCGCTCGTGGCCTCCAGTACCCCTCCTCGGTCCCGGATATCTTGCACCAGTATCACGTGCTGTTATGACAGTACGTGTACACAGCCCTGTACGTCCTGTGCTGATGCCTCACACAGAGTGTGTGAAGGTAGGCATTCAGCCAGGACGGGTTGTGTCAGCTCTTCGCTCCAGGCCTCCAATCCGTCTCCACAGCCCGGCCCGGCCTGTTCCTGCTCCCCGCACCAAGCCAATGCTGCGCGTTGCCAGCCCGGCCCGGCCTGTTCCTGCTCCCCGCACCAAGCTAATGGTGCGCGTCGCCAGCCCGGCCCGGCCTGTTCCTGCTCCCCGCACCAAGCCAGGGGTGCGCATCGTCAGCCCGGTCCGGCCCGTTCCTGCTCCACGCACCAAGCCAGGGGTGCGCATCGTCAGCCCAGTCCGGCCCGTTCCTGCTCCACGCACCAAGCCAGGGGTGCGCGTCGTCAGTCCGGCACAACCCGTGCCTGGGTCACCGGTGCCTGGTCAGCTGCTCCACACCGGAGCCTAAGCAATCCGCTCCTACGATGTCCAGTCCAGCTCCAGCCAGCGGGGCCAGACCGGACCAGGGGCGCTACGGGGGGATGGTTGGAGGGTGGTGGTCAAGCCCGGAGCCGGAACCGCCTCCGATGAGGAATGCCCACCCAGCCCTCCCCTGTTTGGTTTATGTTTAGGCACGGTCGCAGTCCGCGCCTTTGGGGGGGGGGTACTGTCACACCCTGGCTCTGGGGACTCTTTATGTTGAGCCAGGGTGTGTAGATTCTATGTGTTTGTGTTCTGTGTTGTAGATTCTAGTTGTTTAATTTCTATGTTGGCCAGAGTGGTTCTCAATCAGAGGCAACGAGTGTCAGCTGTTGCTGGTTGTCTCTGATTGGGAACCACATTTAGACAGGCTGTTTTCCCACAGTAGTTGTGGGATCTTGTTCCGTGTTGGTTGTGTTAGACCTAGGACGTCACGTTATCGTTTGTTGTTTTGTTCGTGTTATTCAGTTATTTAATAAAGTAAAATATGTTTGCATTTCACGCTGCGCCTTGGTCCTCCTCCTTCGACGATCGTGACAGGGACATTGTGAACAGAATGTTCTGATAGTCTAGCAGTCTCGCAGGCGTGAAATGAGCCGTTCTTGCCTGTGTAATAATTGCGCCAGGGTTGTGGGTTCGATTCCCACGGGGGGCCAGTATGAAAATGTATGCACTCACTAACTGTAAGTCGCTCTGGATAAGAGCGTCTGCTAAATGACTAAAATGTAAATGTAAAAATGTAAATGTACGGTTAGAGGAGACATAGCCACAATATCAGAACATGTCAAAACAGCCTCAGTAGCAGCCACTACCGATCTCAAACAGGAAACCATTCCCCTGATCACAGTATCCAGTCTTTTAGAATAATAACCAACAGGTTCTATATCCCACCCAATGATACTGTGTCAAAACTGCTGACATAAACCCACCCGTCTCCGAAACAAAGAGATGGAAGGGATTAGTATTGTCTGGCAAACCCAAGCAAGGGG